GGTTTCTGCTACTGAGAAATTTCACACGGCTCCAGAGGAAACACCATGAACTTATCTTTGCAGCTTTACAGCAAAACCTGAACTGGGAGATGACTGGCTTGGCTTCCCAAGCCCTGGGATGAAGGAATGAGAGGGACACCACTGATCTGAGACCAGTGCAGCCATCACATGTGGAGTGGCCTAAGCCAGTACAGTTCCAGTGTCATGACTTTTTTACTAATATATTCTGCTATATGCACTGCAACCTTAGATGCTTAATATAGTTTCACTGCCATGTTTTTCCTTCACAGTATTCCATGAAATGTAATTTTTGTGGAAACACTGAAAAGAGCCATCATTCATCTTACTATATATCATAACTTACAGTTGCTGATAAAAGGACATGGACATGCCAAAATAGTTACTAGAAGTCAAATTCAGCTTGAGGAAGCCCTTACTCTAACTCTTCAGGGACAGATCAGAACTGGACTATGGGATACAATAATTAAATACTTCTGAGCATTTCTATTCCAACCCAATATTTTCAACTAGCTTCCATATTTCTGGGTACAGATACAAGGTTGCTGGAGTTTTGTCTAGAAGTCCAACACTTGCTTACTTTAGCAACAGATCATGGTGGAGTGTACTTCTCTTCCTAGCTCAGGAGCTTACCAACATATTGTGCTGTGAGTCCTCAGTAGGTGGCCACATTTACAAAGAGGACAAACTTCCCCAAATAATTCCGGAAGGGGATGTATTCATCATTTATAGTGAGAGCCCCATAGTCATGGATTGTTCCTTGAACTGAGTCATAGCAAGCCACCTGGAAGACAGCACAAGATAAAACAGGCAAGTAGCATAGGAGAAAGCATACTTTCATGAGCTCTAACACAAAACTTTCATGAGCTCTAACACAAACTCCAGAATCAGCTAAGTACCTTGTCTGTAGCCCCAAGCTCCAGCCACTGAAATGGAACAAACTCTTCAATTTTATCAGAAGCTTTTCAGTATGAAAAAGTATGAAATGTATTGAGGTAGTGCCTTGAGATAGGTTTTACAATAATACTTGTCATAGGAACTCAGCTGCAGCAATATCTGTATGGATTGAGGAATATAAAGACTTGCTACGGTCTCCTCCTTGCAAGACAGTGAATATCTAGAGTCCCTTTCCCACGTGCAGAGGGCAAGAAGCACAGCCTAGGAGCAATTTAGTAGTATGTGGCTTATGGTGTAAGGAGTGTTTTGATTGTTAAAGGCATGATGAAAGAAACCACAGCTTCTGAACTTCTCTCTTCTGTGGGGCTACTTCATAACTGTAGGAAGTTTGAGGGCTGACAAAGCTATGAATATATTTTAAGAACACGTTAAGTAAACAGTAGAATATGTGAAATCAATACTGAAAATATATTCAGTCTCATAGGTGGTATGAAAGTTAGGAGAAAGGAAAGTGCTAGGCATGCAAAGTCTCCTAAATTCAATGTTTAGGGAGGGCTAAAACTCTAGAGAGTTGATGGCCGTAAATGCAGAGCAATTCCTGCCAGCAAAATGCAAGCCAGGACCTACTATTAGAATTCAGCTCATCTGCTCTGTAGATTCTCTGCCACCTTTCACAGTAATAAAAGACTTTTTCTTCCCCTTTTCCCAAAGTCAGCTGATCTAATGCAAAAAGCTTTGGGATGGGATTTAGGAGGGTGTATTTTTGTGTGTCGAATGAGAGGATTACAGGTTTTGCACAGTTATTAAAAACGAATATTTGGTCTGTGTTCCAAGTCACTCTAGTCCTTACTTCTAGATATATGTTTAGTTGCTGGCCTGGAGAAGTAGATCCCAGAAGCATGAAGTTTGCCTTGGCACAGAGGAGACTGAGCTACATGGACTAGTAATAGGAACAAATCTCAGTGATAAAAGGACTATATTCCATGAAAGTTTAGACTATGATAATTTGTAAATTCTGAACATACCAAGAAGTCATTGTTTACTAAAGCAGTCATTTCTCTGGAGGTTTATAAGCATTATTTTCTGAGGAATTGCTTTTGACAGTCACCTAGAAACGCTGGTTCCTAGGATCTGACTAGAACATTTCAGCCATTCACTCTGCCTCCTCCTGCACCATCAGAAGTTTAACCTCCTGACATCAAAAACTGCTGCAAATCAGATACTAGCCATCCATGTCTTAATCCGTTTGTTTTTCTTTGCATGAATAGTTCCAGAACAACAGAAAAGTTTAATCAAGAGTTACTTAAACAAGGTCATGTTTATTGTTCAGATATTCAGATAGGATGCCTAAAAAGAAAAAGAAAAGAAAAACCTTACACCTGCTTTCCTCTACCAGATGCCTTACAGGAGTGTTAATCCATAACTCTCATCATTCCCAGAAATCATGGTCATCATTATGGGAGTTGAGGTCCAATGTTTTTTTTTTTTTTTAATCTGCACTCAGTCGTTC